CACAAACAAACAAGCCGTACTGAACACATAACAACAAGATTAAATCATCAATATTTGTTGAGGATTTGAATTGCATCCATATTGCATGATTTTTTTGTGATATTCTAATTGAAGGAGATTAATAATACTGTTAAGTTAGTTGAATGAAGAGGATGAAACCGAGATACTGATTATGATGGGATTCGATCAGTTCAATACAAGAGAAGCTCTCTTACCTTGTTTTCCCTTAGGCACAGCTGTATTTATTATTAGTTATATTTACTACGTACCTACTAACTAAATAGTTTAAGCTAACTAAACTGACTGAAAAACAGGAGAGGCAGATATTTTACTACCAACTCGCATTTCATGTGTTTTTACAGAAAATGAACCTCAGGCAATGATATGGAGTCCAATCGTGAAGTGAGATTTTCGACAACTGATTCATAATCAGAAACCAAACCACCAAGTATGTACATAGCGAATTAATTTTAACGCCTCAATATTTTTTAATACATATTTACATATTTTTGCGATTAATAAATACATAAAAATATTATTTTTAAAATATTTTAAGAAACCCAATATTTTTTTTAGATGAATTAATGCGGAAGCGTAATAAATAATTTGACATGATAAGACATTTCAACAATTTAAAATAAAATATACTAATAAAGATAATCTTAACGGTTTTCATCAAACAAATCCTACGAATGTTGAATAGAAAATGTTTGATATAATAATTAAATATTATACCACTACACTATTTACCCAGTATGTCACTCTTCATCCTGAAAAAAATAGTTTTAATAAATGGGATAAGCCAAAAACGTTTAGTTAAGTCGTACATGTCACATATTAATATCACATAATAACAACTTAAAGAACGTAGAATCTTAACATCTTTATATGAGCCTATGACTTCCAACGTGTATATATTATCCAATTCGTCACTTTACTTCTTGGAGAAGGGTTGATGCCTCCTTTTTTTTCTTGGTCTTTTTCTATATTTAACGTACTTCGGCCGTTTGAATGTTTAGTTGTGGGTTGAACTTCGATTTTCAACTTGATCGAATCTTCAAGAACGTCTTCACATATTCAAAAGAGTTCTTGAAAGCACTTGAACCTGAGACTTTGATTTTATGAGGTGTGATTTTTGTCTCCGAAAGAGTTAGAGAGAAAGTCTTGGAGAATAAGACATCAATTTTCAAGATTGGATATAATATAGTTTCTTATCTTATGAATTGAAACGGTAGACAAGAAATAATTACTTTATTAATTATATATATTATTTATCTTAAATTTATGTTCAAAAAGACATTAATTAATAAAATATTAAAATTTTGATATGACTTAATTAATGTAAAATATAAAGGTTAATTTCAACAATTAAATAAAAAAATAAGCCAAAAAGTTAAATATAACATTAAATCAATTGCCTACAATTATGTATATAATTTTTATGATGTAACATTAAAATCACGTTAAAAGCTCGCACTAACATAGTTAGTAGTTGGAAAACATAGTATTGAGTTAGTTGATCGGTTTTGCTATGAAGTCAACAGTTGACTCTGTAGTGGAGCCAACTTTCTATATACAACAAATAAACCTACAATATTAATAAAATTATATTAGTGTTATTTAAGTAATAAGAGAATATGGTAGATTTATTTGTTGTATATAGAAGGTTGACTCCACTATGGGACCAACTGTTGGCTTCACAGCAAAACCGGATAGTTGATATATATATATATCAGTCCTGATTCTGCTTAGCACAATTAATAGTGCAATACACTCCAGGAATTTTAAACCATGAAAATCTGTGAAAACATAGTGTTCTGAAATTTAAAATATCATCTTCACGGATTGATTTACAAGTCACTGACTCGTATTGAAGTTAGCAAAGGACCAACAAAGAAACAAAATTCCCAGTTGTTGTCCAACATATTTCATCATCCACCCCTTGTGAAATTCTCATTATGTCCTTCCTCGCCATATCAATAACAATATATTCTCCTAAAGCAGTATCGATTTCATCGTCAAACAGTAGTTACATATCCTTTATAAATTCATGAATTTCTTCATGATTATTAGGACGTAAGCATTTTCTTGCTCTTATTATTATAAGCAATTAATGCAAAAATGGATGACAATCACAAATATTAAATCAAGTTTAACTTATGTTAAAGTGATTAACAGCTAGAGAAACATATTTTATTTTAAAACAAATTTAAATACTTTGATATCCATATGTAGAGGTATAAATTAGGCGAATTGAAATTGAGCTCATGGTACTCGAGCTCGAACATTGAACATTCTTTATCAATGTTAACAAATCGGGATCTTGCCTTACCGAGTTGAACAATGAAAAATTATATAAACTTCCTCTTTCGAACATTGACGAGTCGAGCCGAGTTCAATAGCAGTTGGTTATTTTCGTTTAACAGTTCTATCCTAATAATGACATACTTTAAAAAATAAAACGTGATCGTCTAACCATTAAACGATCCCTAGAATTTTTGTGCAGTTATATATATTCAAATTAAAATGAGTTAAAATTCGGAACAACATAGAAAAATATTACGCTAGATAAATAGCCAATATTGCAATTAATGCGCCATCAATTGTGCTATAAAATCAACTATCACGATCCTCGTCCAAACTCACCCAAAAAAAACCTTTCACCTTCCCCGAAGGGCCAAACCCTTAGCCATGGCCACGATTAAGAAGACCACAGCAGCTTTCATGGTCTGCATGCTGTCCATGCTCACGGCCCTGCCGCCAGCCTACGCAGCCAACTGCCCGCCGCCTTACCCGCCCTACTGCCGTCCCACGCCACCCACTCCCCGCCACCGCCCCCAACCCCACCCACCGCCCCACCACGGCGGCGGCGGCGGAGGCCAGCCACCAAGAATCCCGCCGCCCATAGTCAAACCTCCACCCAGAGTCCTGCCCCCAATAGTCAAACCTCCACCGAGAGTCCTACCACCCATAGTCTACCCTCCGCCGAGAATCCTGCCGCCAATAGTCAACCCTCCGGTCATCCTGCCGCCAATAGTCAACCCTCCGATCATCCTGCCGCCAATAGTCAACCCTCCGATCATCCTGCCGCCAATAATCCTTCCCCCGCCCGTAACAAACCCTCCCAGAATCATCCCGCCCATCATCAACCCTCCGGGCATACTCCCCCCGATCACCAGACCACCACCGTCCACTTGCTACCCACCATACACTCCTCCCGGCGGCGGAGGTGGCGGCAGGCCGGGGATCAGCCCCCCTCCGGCCACCGCCACATGCCCGATAGACGCTCTGAAGCTGGGGCTGTGCCTGGACATTGTCGGAGGTGTTGTCCACATCGGGATCGGGAATCCTGTCGAGAACATATGCTGTCCGGTGCTGCAAGGGCTGCTCGAGCTGGAGGCGGCCATTTGCCTGTGCACCACAATAAGGCTTAAGCTTTTGAATCTGAACATTTTCCTGCCGCTGGCGCTTTCGGTGCTGGCGACGTGCGGGCTGACTCCGCCGCCCGGTTTTGTCTGCCCGCCGCTTTAGAAGATGTGTAATAGTTGCATGCATGTGTGTTTGTTTTTGTGTGTCTCTGTTTTGGTTTCTAATGTGGTGTTAGTTTTATGTAATGGCTGCGTGGTGGNTTTCTTTGCTTGATAACTGCTAATAATAAATCTGGTAATTATGAATACCAATATTGTGCAATAAGTGGGAAAAGAGAAGTTTTATTTTTATTTATTTTTTTCTGATATTAACTTTCGAGTTTCAATCTAGTCTAGGAATATTTGGGATTGAATTTGACAAAAATAGTATTCTTTACTTCACTATATTAATTTTTCATATCTCATAAAGTTAATTTTTTCACTTTAAAAAATGCGAAGGCGATGTGCAATGAATATACCACCATTGTGTGATGTATTGCGGATGCTAAAAATGGAAATACATTCGCATAATCCTTTGAATTTTTTGGGTTGAAAAAAGTCAAAATAGAAAGACATTGGATGATGAATATTCAATAACTATATATGCAATTAATATACTATAGGTATTCGAACCATTAGCAGAACTATATTTCTTAGGTCTGGGTGAAAAATATGTGGACCCATTGAATTTTCGGGTCTATTTTCCTTCCTTAAACCAATCCAACCTACATAATATTGAAAAATCTTTTGGTTAGGCTGATTATATGGTTAGTGAGCCAGACTCTTCTAATAAATATAAATATCTCCGTATTCCAGTATCATATTTTAAAATACAATATGTATTATAATATTATATAATATAAGTCTATATATATTCAGAAATTATTATGTAATAGGCAATTTAACACCAAACAATATTTGTGGAACGCAATCTAACATGAAATTAACAATATTTGTGGTATCATGTGTTTCAGAGTTAAAATTTTCGGCCTTGTTCAATTGAAGAAAACTATTTACCACACATTCCTTAATAAATTGGACTAATTAAATGCATAAGTTTGTAATATACTAAGATAAATTTTATATTTTTAACAAAATAGGTCAATTAATTAATAAATGAACAATAAGTTAAAAAAAAATAGTGAATAATGAATATATAGTGATACATACTCACAAAAGAGTACATAATACATGATGCAATCACTGCCCACGAACTGTACCTCCGAATAATGCAAGTTGCGTACAAGTTAGTGGACCGGAAAAATTGTTGCTCATGAATGTTACAAAACTTTAATTCAACTTCTAGGCCTTAACAATATTCTGGTTTTCTTAAATTGATTTTATTTTCTGTCCTTTCCTATATTTTTTTCTAAATTATACACTTATACTCTGGCAAGCTTTATGGAGGATCAACAATAAAAAGGTTGTACTATTCTTTTCAAGGAAGATTGGTATAATCAAGTAGATTGAAAACTTTTCCAAAGATTCCATTGAAAAGGTATGTTGTGCTCGCTTTTGTAATCTATATCTATATATATAATAAGAATAATCATTTACTAAAAATAGTAGTAAAAAAATTTGGTAGCATTTAATACATATATTTTTTTAAAAACTTTTTAAATATATGCATTAATTGATTTTATATACACGTTTTCAAATAAGGTCAAATCAGATATGATCAAAAATATTGTTTTCTTAAATAATTTTATTAATATCTGCAATAATTTTATTGTTATCTATTATAATAAATTACAAGATTAATTTTCCGTGATTCATGATGATAATATTTTGGTCTGACATTTACTAAATCAAAATTATTTAATTACTATACAAAATTAAATTCTAAAAAATCACGTGTGTATATTTTATAAAATATATATACACTATTTATTTTTAAAATTATTTTCATATTTTAAATTGATTACATAAATAAATAATACTAACGTGCATTAAATATTTTTTATTACATAAAATAAAAAGTAAAAGAAGACGTACAACTTCTATAACTTTTATAAATAATAATTATATTATATGACAACAAAGTTTATAATAAAATAATAATTAAGTATTATATGGTGAACAAGAATAAATAAAATTATAATTTTCTCTTATATCAAGGAATAAATATATATATACTAAAATAAAATTTATATTATCATAAATGATTTAGTGAGATAATATATTAATTAGTTTATAAGCTAGGCCTAACATGTTCATACTTAATGTTCTGGCTAAAAACACAACGCTGATTAAAAGAGATGGAAAATAGATGATAATCTTATTGTCTTTTTAGACTTAAATGGACAGAGTTTATTAAAATAACTTATTTAATATCTATGTCCCGTGCATCGCACGGGGTACGCACTAGTAAAATAAAATTCCACTATGCCGATATTTAACCGTCCATTTAATAGTTGTTGATTGAATGATGAAAAATTGTTATGGGATAAAACTCGACTCTGCCGATATATTATATATTCTTTGTCCAGTTATTAGATTTTGATTCAATGATATGAAAATTGGTGTGGGATAAAGTTGAATTTTTCCATGAGAAGGACATTGTAGAAAGTGAGAGGTTTATTTAAATTTGATGTGGGATTTTTGAGCAAAATCAATTTTCAAGATTTTCAGCTATATATTAGCAAGTATAGTGATCATTCCGATTTAATTACAAAATTATAGTTAAAACTAAAATGGATTAGGAATTGTAGATAAGAATTTGATAAAAAAAATTGAAAAAAAAAATAATTGTGTCAGACCTTATCTTCAAGTATAACATAACACAAAATGATTTTACTTCTAAATTTAGGTGTTAATTAAGCCTGATCGATTTAATTGCCTAAATAAACGTTAATGTAATTATGATAGAGAGAACAATCGAAAACAAGGAAAATCAGTTGATTCGTGTCATTGGAACAACAAATATCATGTGGGAATATAAGTATGTGATCAAGTCAACATCTAGCTAGGATTGAATTTTCCGAAAAAAATAAAAACCATATAAATACGGAATTGAAAAGGCTAGATGAAGAAAATAAATCCCAATTTAAATATCCAAGCCAATACTCTTAGGCGCACTGGAATCCCTTGGGGACCTCCTTGGAGCAAACGTTAAGGAGCAAGCTAAGTGAAAGGGGAACATTAAGGTTGATGCCCAAAACATTAGCCTTGATTGCCGTGCACAAGCAAACGGCCGCCTCAAGATCGGCCAGCCCTTGGATAAGGGTGCAGCACGGGGTTTTCGGTGGGGTCCCAATCGTGATGTCTATCAACCCACCAAGCAAATCCGCGCACACGCCTAATTTTAGTGTGTCCCTCGGGCAAGTGGCCTTGCCATGGCTTGGCCCGGCTGGCGGAGAAGGGCAGTCGGATTTTGGCTTGGGCGGCGGTGGCGTCGGCTTGGGAGTCGGGCAAGTCCCGCACGCGCTCGATAGAGTGAAGAAAACGACGTTTAGCGCTAGGAAAATGGCGATCGATGAAGAGTTTTTCGTGGTAGCCATTTTTTTATTTTTATTTTTATTTTATTGTTTTTAGTTACCCTAGAAAGAGTTGAGGATGGTTTTGGACCTTTGTTTTGGGGTGTGAAAGATGTGAATGCGAAGTAGGGCTTTTTATAGATGGATATAGAGAAAAAATATATGAGTTAATTTTTTTTACAGCCCGACGTGAACGTGAAGATACATTAAGTTTTTCATCTTATTCGCTAACAATTAGTTTTTTCGCCCTGAAAAAATGCGAAGATTGTACGACTGGCTCGCACAATTATCGTATATCAGTTGTATAACTTGTAAGAATATTGGTTTGGCATCGTTCGACAAACCTAAGTATTTCCTAGAAGATTTTCTTGTTAGGCAAGCAAAATAAATTAAAGAGAAGTTTTCTATTTATTTACTTGTTAATTAATTAAGTTCCTATTATTTATTATTAATAATATATGTTATATATTTATTATAATGTGTATTATGGAATCCCACACCTTTAGGAGAAGGATTACATAATATATATCTTATATATTTACTTACCATATATGCCACATGCATTAATGAGCTTGATTCTATGTCATAATTAGTTTTCTCTATCTTGTAGGACAAGGAATAGGTGGCAAGGACTGTGAAAGGATGAGCAATTCGTGCATAAGGAATTCTGGACGTTATCTAGAAGATCTAAGAAGGATTTGGAAAGATTCACCACAAGATTTTTGAAGATTTGGAAGATCGGCTATTTTAGGAAAGTTGTGTTCTTACACGAGTCTGGAACCACGGGACTTCCATTGGAAACTCAATTCTGAAGATCTCCAAATCACATACAATCAAGAAAAATTTACTTTCCATGTTACTACACTATTTTTGGGAAGAAGATCAAAGGAGATCGTGAAAGAAGGAAAGAACTTGGAGAAGACTCCAAGTCTAAGAAGTTGTATATATACCCTACTTGAAGATCGAATCAAGGCTGCTGAGATCATTATTATTCACATACTATTCGAGCTTCAAGTCTTCTTTTATTTTAGTTCTCAGTTCAGTTTTCGATGTTCTTACATATCGAAGAACTAAAGTCGTTTTGTTTTCTTTTCTTTGTTTTTCAAACATTATTGTGATCAGCACTTAGGGATTAAGTGTTATTTAAAGTCCACGGGACGTGGCCGGAGAAGTAGTTGGTAGATTCGAGTATAGTTGTTGGTTAGGCTATAAGGGAGTTCTAGTTGCTGTAATTTCAAAACTATACGCATGTGCACAATCGAGTTATCAATGAAAGAGCTCTGAGAGGAAGTGGGACGCTTCCCTTAAGAGTTTTTTAAATCTTCGGTTTATTACTTCCGCTATTCTAGTTGTTTATTTGTGTTCTAACAACGTTGAGCGCTCTCATCGTAAAATACCTACGTTTCATAACTGTCGCATACCGTAGAAAGTGCGAAGGGTTATGCGAATGTCTTTGCATTTTTAACTTTCTCACAATTGTCGCATAATGTCTCTCACATTTTCTGGAGTGAAAAAGTTGACTTATGGTTTGACGGTGTAAAATTTTTATTCAGTTTTTAGAACGAGGTATAAATAATTATTTTTTAAAATTAAATTGTGATGAGGGCTTTGAATTAGCTGGCAAAATGTACCATATGGGCTAGGGTTTGGGGAGTGTTTTTGGATGGTTGTGGACAAGGGGCAACAAATTGGCATGTTCATTCGATCGATTTTTATGTTCAGCGTGATTTGTCTAAGTTATCTTTTGTGAAATTTCCAGATCGAGCTTCTAAATAAGTGTGAAGCAAAAATTAAATAAATAAATAAAAGTTAAAGGGATGGGCCACAAGTTGTGCAATTATTCAATGGGCCCAGCATGTGAGATATATGAGATATTTTTGGGGTGGGAAATAATTTGCTTTATCGTAATATATGTATATGTTGAGCTTGTTGAGTCGTCAATCGTCTACTAACCCAATTTCTTTTGTAATATATATAGAGCTTACATGGTCACTAATTAATTGAGAGATTAATTAGTGAAATTGTTATTGCATAGTCATTATGACATTATTTTATGCTCTTGGACAATATATGATAAAATTTGTAGTTCCACTAAGGATGCATGTTTGAAAACAGAGCTTATACATGGCTTGTACTCTTATACTATTATTAGAAAGTTTGGAATAATATAAATCTTTGTATGATAAATAAGAAATAGTAAAAAGTGCACTTACATAATCGTAACAAAGTAATAAGAATGATATTTCAATAACTATGAAAGATTCCAAAAGGCAAATTGAAGANAAAAAAAAGAAATCCAAGACACGACGTTAAAAATATTTTTGTTACATATTATTATTACGCAGATTTAACAGTTCGAGATTCATATATGTACAAGTTAAACTTTTATACACTAACAATAGCATAAATTAAACTATACAATTTCAAAACGAAATTATACATTTTTTGTCAAAAAAGATATATAATAGGTTAATCCGTCTAAATATTGTTGGAATGCATCACACAAAAATTTATTCTTTTGTTATTATATTTTTCATTACATGGGTTTATACTCCAGAAAGAATAAATTTTTCCATTTGACTAATGAGGTGAACTCCACCCCAAAGATCAAAACATAAGAAACATTCTCATAATTTGGATGAGAGCCTAGTGATACAAATAATGCATATATATGAGTAAAATATGGTAAATTTTACTTGCATCACAAATTTTTATCCATTTTCCCTGTATCCGACTAGACTGAACGTAAGGAAATTGGGCCGCTCACCGTACATTGAGTAAACTAATTCTTACTCGAACTGGAGTTCATTTCACGCCAATATGTTATATGTACTACTTTATAATTTAAAATTACGTAAAAAATTTTATTGCGTATAATTACTATCGTTATGTTTAAACTTTTTTCACAAATATGGGACCAAAACTTGTCAAAATTAAATCAAAAGTTCACGACCGGACTAACATTGCCAGATTTTATTGTACGGGCCTACAAGTGATCTTGTCGTTAAGGAATCGAAAGTGTACACAAAGCTTTGATTTATCAAGAAAAATTTGTTTTTACTCTCACATATATATACAACTAAAAGAAAATTACATTTATATAGACATTAAAAAAGAATATCAATTTTGAGCGCTTTTTCCAATTGATAATCAAGATCTTGTGCAAGTTTTTGTATCGTTCTTTGGTGGTTAGTCCCTGTCGAAAAAATAAATAAATAAATAAGAATGTGCATAACCCATTATTTTCAGTGCAGGGCTTCACGGGCAAATTCTTACAGCGCGTGCAACGCAAATCTATGATTACTCGAATTTCTCTCAAGGCTAAAAGATAACCACTATGCCCTCTTTTCCCTTTTTCCAAATTAGAATACTTCCAAATTACTTCGGACTTTTTGTTACATTTTGCTACAAATATTGTGAACCTTTCCACATGCCTATGACTCTCGGTTTTGTCAATTCGGTTTCTCTATGATTTTCATAAATTTCGGTTCGGTTTTCGGTTTTGATAATGGACAAATCGAATTTTCGTTTAACCGAAAATTCGGTCGATTCGGTTTTGACCGAATGAGCATTCCTAGTTCACAAGAGAAAAAAGTATCATTATTAAATAGTTTTTAGTTTTTCAAACTTACATCTAATAATAATTTTATAGATAAACTTATTTAATTGATAATTAATTTATTTTCTTCAATTAACATTAATAATTTAATTTTTATTATAAAAATAAATATAATTATTTGTATATTTTTTATATACAATATGGCTGTAAAATGGAAAATCATTAAAAAATGACTATATCCCCTCTATATATAATTTTAAAATGCGTTAAGCCTACGTGGCAAATTCTCACTCTTCGGAATGCTATTTAGCAAAAAATCATACTTTGGAGTTAGGCTTGGACATAAATTAATATTTGTGTTGATAAACGGATTTAATCAACGTAATTAATGTAAAAATAACAATAAAGATTGCAGAAAATGAGATTTTGATTGAAAATCTTGAAGTCGGTTACAGAATTGGGAAGTCGGTTTTTTAATGTTTACTAAGTCGGTAAACAAGGAAAAACCGAGATAAATATATGCGTTTTTATCACTTTTGCCGAATCCGAATATCGTGTTGGATGTTGCTATTTATAGTTATGCTTGGCACACATCCCTAGACAAATCAGCTTCGTTTTAATGGAGATTTGACAGTTTAGGGGCGACCATGACGTAGGCAAACTTTTTAGGCAATGATGAGCATGGGCGCTCCTCTATCTGTGTGACAAGCGTCACTTCTGTCGGATTGAAGTCGGTATAGCGTTATGACGTCGGTATTTGGGTAGAATTTCAATCTGCTATGACTTCCCGGTAAGCTGTTATTCAACCGAGGTGGCCTTTTCGAGGTTTCAATGGTTTACTCTGACAATCTTTTGGGTCTGCTGTATTACTCGGAACGTCGTATGAGAACCGAGATGATATTTCCGAGGTTCCATATATTCTGTGTTGTATTATTAGAGGTTCAGTCTGGTTGAAGGGACGCTTGTGATATCTTTAATCTAACCTTTATTTCAAGATACTCTATCTTGATATCAACAATTTGTATGAATTGTATTTAATATCATTTCCTATTATAACTATTGAATTTGTAAATATATTTTAAAAGTTGATAACTTTTGTATTTCTTATCAGTTTTACATATATAATATATCAAATTAATTATCTTTTGATATGCTTCGATTTGACATCCATATTGTATATATATAAAATAAATAAATTATATTTATCTTTATAATAATATTTAAATTATTTACTAAAATTAATTAGAAAATAAAAGTATTTACCAATTAATATATTTATGTTTAATGTAGTTCCCCTCTATATATAATTTCAGAATGCGCTGAGCTTACGTGACAAATTCTCACGCTTCGGAATCCTATTCGGCAAAAAATCATTCTTTGGAGTTAGGCTTGGATATAAATTAGTATTTGTATTAATTGTATTTTAATATCATTTCCTACTATAACCATTGAATTTGCAAATATA